GCCATGCACTAATTTCTCTATTCTCTCCTGCTCTAACCCAATCTCCCCCTTGTCGCCGCCCATATAAAACCCATTCACACCTCTTGTCTCTATCTCTCCTCCTACTTCTGGCCGCTGGTGACGTCTCTCTCAACCCCTCCCCTCATCTGCTCACACTAGAATAACCAGAAACCATGCAAATCTCCTCCAAATACCCTGCAGTTTATCCTCCTCTACCAAAATTCAGTGTGCACTCTGGAATCCTCGCTCCATTTGTAGTAATATCAAATCTACAGCTATACATGACCTCATCATCTCTAACTCACTCACAATACTGGCACTCACTGAGACCTGGCTGTCCCCATCCGATACCGCTACTCCTGGTTCTTTATGTTTCGGTGGTCTACAGTTCTCCCATACTCCTAGACTCGACTGTAAAGGAGGTGGTGTAGGCATCCTTCTCTCCCCTCAATGTACCTTTCAACCTATCCTCCCTGCCCCTGCCCTATCCTTTACTTCCTTTGAAGTTCACACTGTACGCCTTTTTAAGCCCACTCCTTTAAGAATTGCCATCATCTATCGCCCCCCCAGTCACCCTAAACTATTTATTGAACACTTTTCCTCCTGGTTACCCCACTTTCTTTCCTCTAGCACTCCCTCTCTCATACTTGGGGACTTCAATATCCCTATCAACAAGCTCAACTGCCCTAATGCCTCTCGTCTGCTCTCTGTAACCTCCTCCTTTGGACTCACACAGATTTCTTCCTCAGCAACTCACTCTGCAGAAAACACTCTTGACCTCATCTTCACCAATCTCTGTACCACCTCTGATCTCGCCACTGTTCCATTTCCTTTGTCTGACCACCATCTGCTAACATTTAATATCTGCATACCCCATACCAAAATTTCACCACTATCAACTCTCCACCCTCGCAGAAACCTCAACTCCCTCGATCTCCAGCACTTCTCCACCAAACACTCCTTTTACCCATCTCAAATCACAACTGCCCTAACTCTGCAACCTCACTCTACAACTTCACTCTCTCCTCTCAACTTGACATCATGGCACCTCCTACAGTTAAACGCAGCAAGCGCCCCCAATAACAACCCTGGCACACCAAGCTGCCCCATTACCTCCAAAAATGTTCCAGAACTGCTGAACGCTGCTGGAGAAAGCCTCACTTTTCATCTGACTTTGTCCACTATAAATTTATGCTGCATTCCTACAGCATGGCTCTTTCCTCTGCAAAAGTAAACTACTTCAACACCCTCATAAGCACACTGTCCCACCAACCCAAACACCTGTTTCACACTTTTGATGCTCTTCTTCGCCCTGTGACTCCCCCTCCTTTCACCACCTTGTCTGCCACAAACTTTGCATCTCATTTCACTGAGATCTCTACAATCAGGAAAGAGATCTCTAATCTCTCTCCTACCAGTATCAATACATCACCCAACCCCACTCCCCCTGCCATCCTATGCTCATTTGCACCTGCTACAGCACAAGAGGTTTCTGCTCTGCTCTTGTCCTCCTGCCCCACCACCTGCTCCCTCGATCCCATTCCCTCGCATCTCATCCGCACTTTGTTTCCCTCTCTTACTCTTCCTCTTGCTAACATTGTCAATCTCTCCCTTTCCTCTGGCACATTTCCCTCTGCCTTCAAACATGCAACCGTAACCCCAATTCTGAAAAAGCCCAACCTTGATCCCAACTCCACATCCAACTACCGCCCTATCTCGCTACTGCCATTTGCCTCCAAGATCCTCGAGAGAGTTGTCTACACCAGATTGACAGACTTTCTCGAATCCAACTCTCTGCTTGACCCCCTTCAGTCTGGATTCCGCGCTGGTCACTCTGTCAAAACTGCTGTGACCAAAGTATCCAACGATTTAATTGCTGCTAAGTCTCGCGGCCAATACTCTATCCTAATCCTCCTTGATCTTTCTGCCGCCTTTGACACTGTTGATCATGTTGTGGATCAGAAATGTTGATCTTTGTTATATTCAGAGGAAGCCCAAATTGTTGTTACAAGTGCACTTGGAGAAGCGAGAATTAGACACCAGACACCTGTTGGTATTCAAAATAAGCCTCTGACGTTTTATTCATCAGCTGGGTTTTATACATTAAAAAGTAAGTGCTTACGTGCAAATACTCTTAGAACAGTATTAGGAAGAGAGTACAGATAAGACATAGGGATGAGTGTCATGTACACATAACAAATAAGTTTCAAGGTAAGAGAGAACAAAATGATTAGAGCAGAGACATCTTAGGTGGGGGCTCTCTGCTCCCGGAACTTAGATATATATGGTCTTAAGTGTTGTTTAAGCATCAAGCATTTCCTGAGTCCAAGTTAGCCAATTTTAATATAGGATATCATTAATGACACCTATAAGCTTGACACTTTGAATCAAGATAAATTCTATCACAATCATCAACAGCTTCTTCACATTCTCCGTAACTTTGGTCTACGGGATACTGCTCTCTCCTGGTGCTCCTCCTACCTCTCCCAGAGCTCTTTCAGTGTTTCTTTTTCTGGCTCTGCCTCTTCTCCCCAACCCCTCTCTGTCGGCATCCCCCAAGGTTCTGTCCTCAGCCCCCTAATGTTCTCTATCTATACTGCCTCCCTTGGTAAACTCATCAGCTCCTTTGGCTTCCAATACCATTTATATGCAGATGACACGCAAATCTACCTGTCCTCCCCTGATCTCTCTCCGCCCACCTTGACTCGTGTTTCTGACTGCCTCTCTGCTATTTCCAACTGGATGGATGCTCACTTCCTTAAACTCAACCTGTCCAAAACAGAACTTCTAGTTTTTCCTCCCTCAAGTGCTGCTACTCCTGTGTCTGTCTCCATCCAAGTCAATGGCGCTACTATCACCTCTACCTCCCAGGCTCGCTGCCTAGGGGTTCTTTTTGGTTCTGATCTCTCTTTTACTCCCCATGTCCAATCGATAGCCAAATCCTGTTGCTTCCAACTCAAGAACATAGCGCGCATCCGCCCATATCTAACGCTGGATGCGGTTAAGGTACTGGTTCATGCTGTTGTTCTCTCTCGCCTTGACTATTGCAATCCCCTTCTCACCGGTCTTACATGTTCCCAGCTTGCACCGCTGCAATCTATAATGAATGCGGCTGCAAGGCTTATTTTCCTGTCCGCTCGCACCTCCCACGCCTCCACACTCTGTCCGTCCCTGCATTGGTTTCCAGTTAGATATAGGGCCCAATTCAAAATTCTGGCGCTTGCTTACAAATCCCTACATAATGCTGCTCCAACATACCTATCCTCCCTCATACACAAGTATGTTCCATCGAGATCCCTGCGCTCAGCCCAAGACCTACGCCTATCCTCTACCCGGATCCCTACCACTGATGCTCGCCTTCAAGACTTCTCCAGGGCTGCACTTATTCTGTGGAACTCCCTTCTCTCCTCAATCAGACTTTCACCCAGCCTCCACTCCTTCAAAAAATCTTTGAAAACTCACTTCTTCATTAAAGCGTATCAATTAAACTGCCAGCAGGTTTCTAATCCCCCACCCCATGACTCCATTCCTGCAACTGTCAAAAATGACCTACCAAGCACTCAATAAACCCTTCTGTAACAAGCTATTTAATTCCCCTACTTTAACCCTTTGTGTCACTATTCCCCATTCCCTCTAGCATGTAAGCTCATCGAGCAGGGTCCTCAACCCCCTCTGTTCCTGTACGTCAGTGGTCTGATCTCAATTATGTGTCTGTTAGTCCACCCATTGTACAGCGCTACGGAATTTGTTGGCGCTATATAAATAATAAAATAATAATAATAAGGCATTACAGGAGGTGTGTAGAGGTACAGCCCAGTGGTGGACACTTGCATATCCCAAATTGTCATGGGTTAACTAGACTAGCTTATGATCAGGTTGTCAGTGGATGAGTACAAGTGTTACCGTGGGTGCCAGTGCTTTGTGAAAGACCATGTGGGAGCAGTCGGCTTTTTCCCCCATGACATGTCTAGGGGCAGAAGCAGCAGGTTTGGAGGCGCTGGTCAGTGGCTATGTTGCTTGTGCCTGGTAAGGTTATGTCTTATACCTGTCAGGCGCTGTTTTATGTCGGTCGGAAGGTTCTTAAATCAACTTTTGTTTTTTAACAAGTTGTTAAATAAAACCTTTTATCAAGTATCCAACCTGGACTCTGGATTTTCCTGCAATTCATCAGTACCGAGTTCCTGAGGGCACATTCCCTGCATTTTCATTGTATATCTCATGGATGAGATGAAAAGCACCATAAGTCCCGAGCCAATTTTTAATAGGCTCTGAAAATTGTGAGTTTGAAGAAATATTCTATTTTCAATACTACCTCAAATATAAAGTTTACACTGTGTGTTTTTTAATCTATTTAAATATAGGTTTTAAAGAACTACCTATGGTTTGGTTACCTAAAAATGAATAAGTGTAAGGTAAATTTAATATTTACTTCTGTGTGCGCAAATCACCTTTTTTCCTTTTATTTTATCACATTTGTTAAGTATAAACGGTGACATTACACTTGGTTAATTTTAGCTGCATCGAATTGTACATAAATATTAGCGTCATTGTGTCCTTTATCATTTGGATTTTTAGCATGCAAGAACAACCACCAGGTTTTTCTTCAAGTGCCTGCAGCAGCTGTGGTGATATAGTCTCTCCAGGAAGTCCACGTCTGGACACA